CTCCACAATTTTTGAAGAACCCTTTCACTGTCTCATATATAGAAATAAGATGCAAACAGAAAGAGAGCATCGGTTGGACTCACCATGATCCCACACTCCTCGCTTACATTCCACGCACTCGGCATTCCGGAGCGGACACGAGCAAGCATGAGTGGTGAGGCACTTCTTTCCGTGACATATGAAAGCTTCGCAAAAGTCGCAAACAGCACCAACCATTCCCATGCCTAAACGCTCAGATCTCTGTATTGGCTGAAAACCAAGTCCATGGCTATTTATCTACATTTTTTGTTCCGTTTAGCTGAGGAAACAATCTCTTGGAGACTGTTATTGTGGCAACTGGGCATTCAAAACATAAGGAAAGGGGTAAGCGCCATGGAAGGTAATGAAAGGAGCAAAGTGTGCAAAACTCTCATCCCTTTTGAAAACCACGGCCCAGCGTCCTCCGCGTCTAATGATGCGGTTGCGCAGCGTAGAACAATAGATATCACCTAAAGTAGAGAAAGATGCCACCAGCTTGTGAAACAGCTTCTTGGATGTCCACACTAGGACGCAATTGTCACAGGCGGAAACGACGAAAGTCTGCTCTACGTAACCAGCAGCAGAAATTCTCAGAGGTCCCGCCGTTGGAAGAGAAAAAATCCCAAAAGACGAAAGCTACGAGAAAGATCGCATCCTATTTCTGTGACAATGCATCGCGAAAAGGTTGCCGTTGTTAAAGATACGATAGGCTGGTGCATCTTGCTTACAGTCCAGAGACCATATCCCTCCGGACTATCGCCTTTATGGTCCTTTCGAAACCATATCAAGGATAAGGAATTCAATAATAGAAAGGACACTACGAGCATGTAATACCATACTGAAACTTGCTGCAATATGCACTTAGTACGAAACTATGGTAATTTCCGATGGGCGGAAGTGGTGTAGTGACAAGTGGCGCGCTCACCACGCGAGCGGTCCGGGATCAAATCCTGGGTCGTGAGTCGCCCGGGCCAACCAAGCCTTCCATCCCTCCGGGGTCGGTTAATTGGTACCAGACTTGTCTGGGAGGATAAAAACACTGACTTGTACATCGGCTGGCCCCCGCAAGTCATTGTATAGGCCACATCGCATTCAAACGCCACTACGAATGTACAAATGGAAGTAGAATGCGTGCCGCATCCCAAAAGGGATTGATCAACGGCAAATGCTTTATCCTTTTTATCCTTTATAATTTAAAACCCACTTTTAGAACATGGTATAATGACTGGGGTATTCATCAGCCGGCCTGTCAACCTGGGCCTGACGCTGGTACTAGAACCATTTTTGCAATTTTTGCAGGGCATGGTTTCGAACCTCGGCAGGGATCGAACTCGCGGTTTTTCAGAGGTGCAGACATGAGTCTAACCTCTTAACCACTCGGCCATCCAGATGGGGTGCCAATTGAGGCATGGAAGGCGCTCGAAGAGTACGGGACCAGATGGCTAACAGCTTCCCGAACACAGTCACCTCGGAGGAAAGATGCCAGATACCTAGGAAAACAAGCACTATCGTTCCCCATCTTCAAGCAGAAGGGTGACGCGATTGGTACTGATCACAACTACCGCAGGAGTCAAGTTTGACCGCTTCGCTTACACAATGAAGCGCTGTGTGGAGACTGTCGACTCAAGCTGCGAGCTGGTCCCCATCTCCCAGGAACAGTTCGGGTTCATGCCTGAAAGGTCTACAACGGATGCCATCTTCATCGCAGGCAAGTGATGGAGAAGTATCGAGAAAAGCGCCGACCCTGCTACCTAGCCTTCCTCGACCTGGAGAAGGCGTTCGACCGGCTACCTCGAGCAGTACTATGGAGAGCGCTCAGGAAACGGAATGTAGCCCCGCCAGAACACCTCATCTCTCTGGTGAACGAGGATCATGTACGAAAGCAGCTATACGCACCCCACACGGCCTAACGAAGGAGGTAAACATCACGGTTGGGGTGCACCAAGGGTCAGCTCTGAGCCCGTTCCTCTTCCTCCTAACACTAGATGTCATGGTGAAGGGGCTCATGGAAGGACCACTAAAGACCATCCTCTACGCTGACGACATCGCCCTGATAGCGGATAGCAGAGAAGAACTACAGGGCAAAGGTGCAGAAATGGCAGGAAAGTTCTGGCAGAAGGTGGCTCCGGCTGAATGTCAAGAAGACCAAGTTCCTGAAGCTCTGAAGAGGGATTAGAGCCAATCGTGGAGAGACCATCGAAAGAGTGGAGGACTTCAGATACCTCGGGAGCGATCTGGCAGCCGACGGAAGTGTGGATCAGGCAGTGAAGGCACGAATCAACGCGGCATGGATGAAATGGAGGGAGTCCACTGGAATCCTCTGCGATCGAAGGTGCTCCAGAGCGCTCAAAGGAAAGGTGTACGGACAGTGGTAAGGCCTGCGATGCTCTACGGCAGCGAGTGCTGGCCCCTGAACAAGAATCACGGAAGGCAGCTTCACTCCGCTGAGATGAGGATGCTGAGGTGGGCCTGCGCCGGACACGGTCAAAAACGTAGGATTCAGAGCGTCATGCAGATTATCCTTGTCCAGCTGAAGGTGAGGGATAACGATTACGATGGTATGGACATGCCACAGGACCACCCAATAAGGAAAGCAATGGACTTCGAAGCGCAAGGCAAGCGACCGCGAGGTGCCCCAAAGAAGAGGTGGAAGGACGTAATCAAGAAGGACCTAAGTGAAATCACGGCCACAGCAGAAGATGCCCTAGACAGAGCGAAGTGGCGACGACTGATAAAGACAGCGGACCCTGCGACTGCGCGGGACTAACGCTAGGGAGAAGAAGAAGAAGAATTTTCCCCCAACATATTCTTCTGGAGGGCGGAAGTGGTGCAGTGACAAGTGGCGCGCTCACCACGCGAGCGGTCCGGGATCAAATCCTGGGTCGTGAGTCGCCCGGGCCAACCAAGCCTTCCATCCCTCCGGGGTCGGTTAATTGGTACCAGACTTGTCTGGGAGGATAAAAACACTGACTTGAACATCGGCTGCTGCCCCCAAGTCATTGTATAGGCCACATCGCATTCAAATGCCACTGCGAATGTACAAATGGAAGTAGAATGCGTGCCGCATCCCAAAAAGGGATTGATCAACGGCAAATGCTTTATCCTTTATCCTTTATCCTTCTTCTCGAAAAAACGGGAATTTACAAACATTGTAACTGACGGCTGTAGTGGAATTTTCCTGGATGTTTTATGACACAATCTCCTGTTTTCGCCATACATTTTTGTTTACCGCACTGAGCACAAGAGGGCAGTTTGGAAATGGAGGCACAGAAATAGCAGAAAGCTCGGCTTTTTTGATCACGAAGGCATTGATCACATTGCTGAAAAAGGATGAACTTAGCTCTGAGTTATTGCTCAAGCCTGCCAGACAACCAAGAGATGATCATCTCATTACCATTTGTGTGTTGCATGGATGCTCTGCCAGAGGCCTCTCTCCACTGCGAATTTTCTTCTGCAGCTCGCGCTGTTTTTCAGCTTTTTTCCTCTGACCTGTCTTCTTCTTAGGCATGGATTACAGATTATGCTGAAGAAATTATGTAGAATTTTCATGAAAAAGAAACCATTGTATTTCCTCAATTCCACGTGATAATCACCACACCGTAAAGTTACGACACATATCACATATTAACACATTCACGACGACGCGGGTTTCGCGTTCTCGGTCGCGTGGGACAAGCGGGATTTTGCGAATGCCGCCGCCGCTGCCTCACCTCCGCGGATTTCGGGCTCAAAGAAGGAAAACATTAATGTGACGAATAATTTAACCAGTGGACGATGCGTAATGGTTATAAAGGGATACAATACCAGATTTCCGATCATAATTACATGGTGGCCATGAAAAGACAAGATTTATGAATTTTCGTTGCATTATAACTATTTTTGCCCCATCTTGCCGTCCATGAAGGTCTACTACTCGTGTATGCATATTCATGGCAATAGATAGAAAACGAAGAGCAAATGTACTAGTATGGGCTGCCGTCGCCCCAGGAGCATCGCCGTGGCAGCCCATATGGGCTGCCTCTGACGTGAGAGTGTTAAACAGCCAAGGAGCATTTGCAATCGAGATGCAACTGCTTCCTATAGTCTTGCCACGCCAAATCAACAAGTGGCTACTACACTGTTGTTCGTTGCCTTCGCATCATCATTAGGATGATAGGATGCGAAAAGGATGATTTTATGCGGAATTCAAGATGCCTAAAGTAATTTTTAAAAGGGCCACCGTTATCGACTTTATTGCATAAACGGGAATCAGAAAATTGTGATACGTTTTGAACGTGAAGATAGGTCTCAAGCCAGTGATTTATGGGTGGAAAGGACAAACATGATTCTGCCGTGAACTATTCCTTTAACCCTTCCAAAGCACCAAGCCGAGATATGACAAAGCGACGGTTTGCGACGAATTAATTCGTCAGCACAGATTAACCACAACTCAGGAGATAAAACGGAAGAGAAGAGAAATTTCAGGTAATCATGTCGACCTGCACCCTCTATTGAAACTAGCAGTTTTCAGAAGTTCCATTATCTGCAGCAGACTTGAGAGTTGACTCTATGAGAAGACAAATCAAATCCCATCTAAGATTCCGTCCAACTGATGGCGCTGTAGTTTCAAGGTTTACCACAAGACCACACAGTTGCCTCCTTCGCGCCGAGCTCTTCCTTCCAGTGCGTGAACAAATTTGGACTATTTTTCCGGCATTTTAACGACAGTGTTGGAAAGTTAGGAAGGCGAAAATCTTAGTCTTCAAAGAACTGGCAACTAAAACACCGCCCTAATTTCTGCTAACGAATTAATTCGTCACAAAC